AAATAAGAAGACATACACAACTCAGTTAAAACGTGGGCAAATTATTCTGCAGTCCCCTTGGTGAAAAAAACAAAGAAGAAGAAAAAAAAAAAAGTGGGCAAATTATCTGAACAGACACTTCACCAAAAAAGATATGGATGGAAAAGAAGCACATGAAATGGTACTTAACATCACAGGTTATCAGGGAAATGCAAATTATAGGAAACATACTGAGTAGAATGGCTAAAATTTAAAACAGAGAATAAGAAATGTTGGTGTGGATGTGGAACTAATACAATTGGAAAATGGTACAGCCACTTTGGAAAACAATTACCAGATTATTATAAAGTTAAACATATACTTACCAAGAGGCCCCAAAATTCCACTGTATGCAAAAGAAGTTTAAAAAATGTTTACAGGCCGGGCGCGGTGGCTCACGCCTGTAATCCTAGCACTCTGGGAGGCCGAGGCGGGCGGATTGCTCGAGGTCAGGAGTTCAAAACCAGCCTGAGTGAGACCCCGTCTCTACTAAAAATAGAAAGAAATTAATTGACCAACTAAAAGTATATATACAAAAAATTAGCCAGGCATGGTGGTGCATGCCTGTAGTCCCAGCTACTCGGGAGGCTGAGGCAGGAGGATCGCTTGAGCCCAGGAGTTTGAGGTTGCTGTGAGCTAGGCTGACGCCACAGCACTCACTCTAGCCTGGGCAACAAAAGTGAGACTCTGTCTCAAAAAAAAAAAAAAAAAAAAAAAATGTTTACAGAAGAACCCACACCCAAATATTTATAGAAGTTTTTATTCGTAATAGTCCAAACTGAGAAACACCCCAAATGCCCATCAACTGGCAAAGTGATTAAAAAAATTGTATTATCTATACATAATGGACTACTACTAAGTAATAAAAATAAATAAATTACTGATACATGCAACAACATGAATAAATCTCAAAAGCATTCTGCTAAGGGAAAGAGGCCAGACACAAAGGGCCACATGCTGTAGGAATCCATTTATGTGACATTCTGGAAAAGGCAAAACCATAGGACTGGAAACTGTAGGGGCAGATCAGTGGTTGCCAATGGCTGGTGATGAGGGGAGAAGCTTGACCACAAAGAGACATGAGGGAACTTTTTTGGGTAATGGAAATGTTTTTCAACTATGGTTCGTGGTTATTTAACTGTATATGTTTGCCAAAACTCATCAAACTGTGTGCCTAAAAAATTACATAGATTATATTATTCTATATGTATCTTTTGTAGCTTCCTTTAATCATTTGAAATTGTTTTTGAGATTCATCCATGTTAATATATACAGATCTAATCCACTCATTAAGTCTTCCACTTATGAGTAAATCACAGGTATTTAGCTGTTTTACATTAAGAGGACAGTTGTTTCCATTTTTTAAATCTTTTGTTGTCAGAAACAATGATCCAGTGAACTTCTTACTACAAGTCACCATTAGTATGTGCATAAGAATCTCTTTAGGTGAGGCATCTAGAAATGTTATCACTGGTTTGAAGGGTATGACTTTCAACTTTATTGGGCATAACTAAATTGATTAAAAAAATGGCCATACAAACCATTATGGAAAACATGTGGAGGTTCCTCAAAAAATAAAAAATACAACTACCATATGATCCAGCAATCCCACTGCTGGGTATATATCCAAAGGAAATGAAATCAGTATGTTAAATAGATAGCTACACTACTATGTTTATTGAAGTATTATTCATGATAGCCAACATTTGGAATCAACCTGTGTCTGCCAACAGATGAATGGAAAAGGAAAATGTGGCATATATACACAGCAGAATACTATTTAGTCATAAAAAAGGAAATTCTGTCATTTGCCACATAGATAAACCTGGAGGACATTATGTTAAGTGAAATAATCCAGGCACAAAAAGACAAACACCATATGATCTCACTCACATGTGAAATCTAAAAAAGTTGATCTCATAGAAGTAGAGAGTAGAATGGTGGTTTCCAGGGGCCTGGGTGGCTGCAGAGTGAGGTTGGGGAGATGTTGGTCAAAAGATATAAAATTTTAGTTGGATAAGAATAAATTCAAGAGATCTATTGTACAACATTGACTATAGTTAACAATATACTGTATTCTTGAAAAACACTAAGAGAGTGGATATAAAGTGTCCTCCCCACAGAAATGCTAACTATATGAGGTAATACAGATGTCAATTAGCTAGATTTAGTCATTCCACAATGTGTATTTTTCAAAACAATATGTTGTATATAGTAAGTACATACAATTTTATCTGTCAATTTAAAAAATTTTAAGAATGGTTGTACCAATTTATATCCCACCAGAAATGCCATAAATGTTTTTATTGCCCCACATCTAATTTTCAAATAATCAGATTTATTAAACTTGGGGAGAACTAACATCTAATGTGCATATTCTGGATTACGGGTAAGATTGTGCATCATTTATCTCATTGTCATCCCCCCCTCCCCTTTTTTATACCCCAAGCTGTTCCTTCTTCCTTGTTATTCATCTCAGTACATGACACCACGATTATTCCCGATGCTCAAGTGAGAAATCTGTGGGTCATCCCTGAGGTCTCATTCCTCCTTCTCCTCATCCGTCTTCCAAGTCTCCTTCACCTTTATTTTTTGTCCACAATATTATACAGACCTCCTAACTGATCTCCCCCCTCCAGTGGGCCCCCTTCCAGCTGGCTCTCCCTGCTGCAGCAAGGATGATCTTTCTGAAATACCAACTCGATATGTCACTTCCCCACCCCCAGCATCCCTCCACAGCTTACCACCGTCCATGCTCCTTAGCTGGGTTTACGGTCTCATCCCACGCTGGCCTCTGTGCCGACAACCTCATATTTCTCCACTCCCTTCCTCAAAGTCCTCACTCCAGTTTTACTGAGTCACTTTCTGTTAAGGTGGTAAAGTATACTGATTGATTTACCTTTCCTTCCTGGAATAAACCCAACTTTGTAATGATATACTATTCCTTTTGTGCATTTCTGTATTTTATTTGAAAATATTTTGTTTAGCAATTTTGCATCTGTGTTGATGAGTATGATTAGCCTATAATTTTACTTTGTCAAAATGTATTTATCAGGTTTTGGTGTAAAAGTTATGCTAGCTTATAAAACAATGCAGGGCATGTTCCTGCCTTTTCTATTCCCTGGAAGAGTTTTGAGATGGCATTATTTCTTCTACAGATATTTGGTAGAATTCACTAATGAAGTTATCTGGGCCTGAGTTCTCTTTGTAGAAAAGTTTTTAATTATAGATTCATTTTTTTATCATCATTATTCTTATTTTTTATAATTCCATTCACTGCCCATCAGGACTCATTGGAATTTTTCTTTATTCTTATGTCGATTTTGATAAGTTGTATATTTTTCAGAAAGTTGTTGATATTACTCAAATTTCAATGTTTATTGGCACAGTATGCCATGGATTATCAATTTTCAAAGAACCAACTTTTGGCTTATATAATTTTCTTTACTCTTATGATTATTTTCTATTTTATTGTTTCATCTCTTATCTTTATTATCTTCTTTCTATTCCGTTTGGGTTGAATTTGCTAATTTTTTTTCTAACTTCTTAATGTAGATGCTTAGTGCATTGATTTTCAACTTTTCTTCTTTTCCAATATGTGCATTTAAAGAAATGATGACTTTTGAGGAGGAAGAGGACGCTGTAGGCTAGAGTAGCTAGGGAAGGAATCATAGAGAAATGGGATCTGAGATTTCAGAGAGAGGAAGGGAAGCGTGTAATAGGCTGTGAGAATGTTCTCAACAAAAACTTGATGGCAGGAATGCATTTAAAATGTTTTTATTATAGAAATATTCAAACATATACACAAGTAGAGAGTGATATAATGAATCCCTATCAACCCATCACCCACTTTTAGGCAGTATAAACTCATGGCCCATCTTTTCTTTTTGAAACAGTGTCTCACTCTGTTGCCAGGACTAGAGTGCCATGGCATCAGCCTAGCTCACAGCTACCTCAAACTCCTCAGTTCAGGTGATCTTCCTGCCTCAGCCTCCTGAGTGGCTTGGACTACAGGCATGTGCCACCTTGCCTGGCTAATTTTTTCTATTTTTATAGAGTCAGAGGTCTCACTCTTGCTCAGGCTGGTCTCAAACTCCTGACCTCAAGTGATCCTCCTGCTTTGGCCTCCCAGAGTGCTAGGATTACAGGTATGAGCCACCAAGCCCAGCCTCATGGCCCATCTTGTTTCACATAATACTTCCTTCTCCAATATTATTTTGAATCAAATGCTGGGCTTTGTATGATTTCACCTGCAAATATTTCGGTACATATGGGTAAAAGATTTGGACTCTTGTTTGTTTAAAACAAAACCAGGAAACAATCAAAACGTCTTTTAGTAAGTGAATGAATAAACTGTGCTGTATCCAGACAATGAAATATTATTCATCACTAAAAAGAAATGAGCTATTAAGCCATGAAAAGATATGGAGGAAACTTAAATGTCTATTACTGGGTGAAAAAAGCCAATTGAAAAGGCTGTCTACTATATGATTCTGATTATATGACATTCTGCAAAAAGCAAAACTATGGAAACAGTAAAAGATGGGTCATTGCTAGGGGTTAGAGGGGAGCACAGAGAATATTTAGGGCAGTGAAACTACTCTGTATGATACTGCAGTGGTGAATACATGTCACACATTTGTCTAAACCCACAGAATGTATAGCACAAAGAGTGAACCCTAATGCAAACTTGGACACCGGGTGATAATGATGTGTCAGTGCAGGTTCATCATTTGTAATAAATATACGGCTGTGGTGGAGGATGTTGATAATGGGGTAGTTTTTTTTTTTTTAATACAGTTTTATTTAAGACATTGCATTTTCCACTTACAATACAGTGCTTATAAAGTGCAATGTTGTCTCCTCCCCTGTGCACATGCTCCATATTCAAGCATTGAGAATGCCCAGTAATTTACTATAGCAGGTCAACTTTAAGTCTGTCACATAATTTGCTACAAATTTAGATCCTTCAATGTTTTCACTGTGTGGAACACTGCTGCATCTATGCTTGGGTTGGCTTAATCAACCTCTTCAATGGTGGGGCCTGAGGAAACACCACCAGGAGGAGGAGCTCCACCACCTGGGAAGCCCCCAGACATTCCTCCTGGCATGCCTCCTGCACTCTGGTACAGCTTGGTGATGATAGGGTTGCAGACTTTCTCCAGCTCCTTCTGCTGACGTTCAGATTCTTCCTTCTCTGCAGTCTGGTTCTTATCAAGCCAGTTTATAATTTCATTACACATGTCAAGAATCTTCTGTTTGTCCTCATCATTGATCTTGCCTTGATGTTTCTCATCTTCAACAGTTGCTTTCATGTTGAATGCATAGTATTCAAGTGAATTCTTTGTGTGTGTGTGTGTGAGACAGAGTCTCACTCTGTTGCCCGGGCTAGAGTGCTTGGCATCCTCTTCGCTCACAGCAACCTCAAACTCCTGGGCTCAAGCAATCCTGCTGCCTCAGCCTCCCGAGTAGCTGGGACGACAGGCATGCACCACCATGCCCGGCTAATTTTTTCTGTATATTTTTAGTTGGCCAATTAATTTCTTTCTATTTTTAGTAGAGACAGGGTCTCTCTCTTGCTCAGGCTGGTTTCGAACTCCTGACCTTGAGCGATCCGCCCGCCTCGGCCTCCCAGAGTGCTAGGATTACAGGCGTGAGCCACAACGCCCAGCCCAAGTGAATTCTTTGATGACACTTTGTCCCTCTGCTTCTCATCTTCAGCTTTGTACTTCTCAGCTTCCTGGACCATACGTTCAATGTCTTCCTTGCTCAAACGACCCTTGTCATTAGTGATGGTAATCTTATTTTCCTTTCTTGTGCTCTTGTCCACAGCAGAGACATTGAGAATGCCATTGGCATCAATATCAAAAGTGACTTCATTCTGTTCCTGGATACTCTCAAAAAAAGAAAGAAAAAAAATATTAAAAAAAAAAAAGTGACTTCAATGTGAGGAACACCCCGAGGGGCAGGAGGTATTCCTGTGAGTTCAAAATTGCCAAGTAAGTTATTATCCTTAGTCATGGCACGTTCACTTTCATAAACCTGAATGAGCACACCAGGCTGACTGTCAGAGTAGGTAGTGCACTGGGAGGAACATGGGATATATGAGAACTCTCTACTTTATTCTCAATGCTGTGAACCTAAAAGTTGCTCTAAAAAATAGTCTATTTTAAGAAGTACAGGCATTGTTTTGAAAAAACAAAAATAATAAAGTATTATTTTGAAAAAACCCACAAAACTCCCAAGCCTGTTGGGGACCTTGTAATGAGGTGCTGGTAAGAGTGACATTATCATGGTACTTTGGCCTGGTGAACATCAAAATCTGGGGTGACATGGCCTTTTTACTAGAAACCCAAACTCAAATCTTTGAACTTACGATTCTGATAGAGCAGAAAGTCACCTGCCAATACCAGAGGAAAAGGATTCAGACAAAAGATGTTGAATGTCAGAGAGATCATTGGAAGATATGTCCCCATTAGTGTCTAGGAATCTTACCATTTAGATCACCTGGGCAGGTGGCAGTGTCCCAGAGAGTAACACAGCCTCACATAGCCAACGGGCCATTTAGAAGGGCTCTTGTTTAAGGGGCAGGTTGCCATATGTAGATTACAGGCATGGACTTGTGTGTTAGACTGGCTCCTTCTCTCACCTTGGCCTTTGGAAGTTCATCTTTGCATCCCATGACTAGGGTAGATTTTGCAATCCTGGGAGAGGCATGTTTTGTTCTCTGCCCTAGGGGAGCAGCATGGTTAAAAAAAGAAAGTCTTGGAATCAGATATAACTAGGTGTGAATCCTATCTTCCCTACCAAAGACACTTAGATACTCTTTTGCCTTTTTCCTCATCAATAAACAGGTTGGTCATGGCTACCTGGCAAAGCAATTGTGAGAATTAATAAGCATAATACGTGAACTGCATGGTGTGTATTTGTCATTAATCATACCTTCCGTTTAAGGTCGAACCTGCCCCCCTAAGGGTTACCTGAATCTTAATATATCTGGACTTGGTCAATAGAAATTCTATAAATTAAACTCTGTTTCTGGCATTTATTTTATTTTATTTTTTTTTTTTGAGACAGAGTCTCACTTTGTTGTCCAGGCTAGAGTGCCGTGGCGTCAGCCTAGCTCACAGCAACCTCAAACTCCTGGGCTTGAGTGATCCTTCTGCCTCAGCCTCCCGAGTAGCTGGGACTACAGGCATGCGCCACCATGCCCGGCTAATTTTTTTTATATATATATCAGTTGGCCAATTAATTTCTTTCTATTTATAGTAGAGACGGGGTCTCGCTCTTGCTCAGGCTGGTTTTGAACTCCTGACCTTGAGCAATCCGCCCGCCTCGGCCTCCCAAGAGCTAGGATTACAGGCGTGAGCCACAGCGCCCGGCCTGTTTCTGGCATTTATTAACATTAGATCAGACTCCTAAGTTGTCTGCTTTTAAAATATTCTCCATATTTCTCAATTTCTGAATCTAAAAGTTCTCCCAAAGTTTCTAGTTTTTCCACAATTCTGCCCTGGATGACAGGGAGGTTTTGTCCTCAGGTACCCATCAGAATGTTAGAAATTCTTATTTAACCGAAACACCTTGCCTTTGAACTATCTACTGATAGCATTAGCATTCTGAGAGCTCCACATTTATATTTTATCATATCCTTCCTAACCCATTTTGAGTTCTTAATTGAGTCATAATAATTTGGAGAGGATATATTATTTTCCAATAGCACCATGGGGAATCAGAGTTACCAGGATGAAAGAAAGGTTTGAAAAACAGTTTGGAAATCCCAAAGAAAACACTCATTTGCTTCACAAACTAGCCTGCAGTTAGCTTTCCCAGTGATAGACTGACACGTCCTAGTATCTCCAGTGTCTGCAGCTTCATTTTCCCATTTCTAAAGTGACAGAGAGCAGTGGCCAGTATCCCCTAAATGGAGTGTGAATAGATAGTCATGTGATTTACTTTTAATAAGGGCATCATAATACAAACCCCACAGGGTCAGGGAGCCAGGAGAGTGTTGTGGTTAAACACAAGAGTTTTAGAGCCAGAGGGCCTGGGTTTGTAGCCCAGCGTCACTATTCACTAGTCATGTGACTTTGGGCAAGCCACTTAATCTTTTTAAGCTTTCTTCATCTGTAAAATGGCAATAATAATTGCATCTACTTCATGGGGCTGTCAGAATATTAAATGAAGTAATCTTTGGTATTTAAGTGCTCTGTAAAAATCTTTTTTATGATTGTTCTTAAAAGTATGGACAGAGATTAAGGTACTAAAGTAAGTGTGAAAGCTGCAACACAGTAGGTGCTTAATAAATGTCAGAAGTTGGTGAATTATTTTCTCTCACTTTCAACCCTTCCTTTTCCGTCAGTGACAAGCGAATGGAAAGTGATTTAAGGTTCTGGACTCCGGAACCAGACTCTCTGGGTTCCAACCCTAAATCTCATGTTTGCCAGCTGTGCCACCTGAGGCAAGTGACTTGATGTCTTCTGCCTCAGTTTCCTCATCTATAATAAAAGGATAATGATAGAACCTACCTTCAGGATTCTTATCAAGATTAAGTGGGTTGGTATTAGCACAGTATTTAATAACAGCCTCAACACACAGTGCTCTCTATATATACTCTATACATTTACTTAATTTGTTAATTTTTAATCCCCAATTCCAGGTGCCTATGTCCTTATTATGTAAGTCTATATGGTGGGTGACTGACATCTTGCGGTTGGGTGAATTGCGGATTAATTATATTGAAACAAATAGAGTGTGAAAGTTTAGGGAAGAGAAACAGGAAAACCAAATTTATGTAGTTATAATAATTAATATGTGTTCAGAACTTACTACATATCAGTTACTGATTTAAATACTTGACATGAATTATCTCATTTAATCCAACCAAAATCCTTTGAGGTAGGAGCTATTATTATCCTTATTTTATAGATAAGGAAAATGAGGCACAGAGAGATTATGTAACTTGCCTAAGGTCACAGAGCAGAGTCAGGTTTAAACTCTGACTTCATAGCCTTGGCATGTCATCATCACACCCATGGCCTTTTTGAGTTGGGCAAAATGGTGCTCTGTGAGTCATGGGCTTATGCCAGTGGTTTCACTGAACACTTTGTGAATCATTGATCCTATGAGATAGGGGTGGATTCTCCTCAGAAAAAATGTACACATCCAGGTTAAGTTTTTCTGGTTTAGGCAGGTATGTTGAAAACATAGTGTTGATCTACATAGTCCAGTGCTAGTTCAAAAATTCAAATAGCATAAATCAAGATTTTTTCCTAAAATGTATTTCACTGCTTATTCCAAGGTGTGTTTAAAAGCACAAAAACGAACATCTAATAAATGTAGGCACTCCTGGGTCTTGCTAGTTACAAAAAAGTATGCACATTAACAAACAAATTTGGACATACTGAAGGCTGGGTCATGGAAAATGAGGTCGTCAATTCTGACACAGAATACTGAGCTATGCCTGGCGCGGTGGTTCACGTCTGTAATGCTAGCACTCTGGGAGGCCAAGGTAGGGGGATCACTCACTTAAGGTCAGGAGTTTGAAACCAGCCTGAGCAAGAGTGAGACCCTGTCTCTACTAAAAAATAGAAAGAAATTAATTGGCCAACTACAAATATATAGAAAAAATTAGCCGGGCGTGGTGGCACATGCCTGTAGTCCCAGCTACTCGGGAGGCTGAGGCAGCAGGATTGCTTGAGCCCAGGAGTTTGAGGTTGCTGTGAGCGAAGAGGATGCCACGGCACTCTAGCCCGGGCAATAGAGTGAGACCCTGTCTCAAAAAAAATAAATAAATAAATTAAAAAAAAAATACTGAGCTGATGGCAGGGTTTCTCTGATAATTATATTAATAGTTAAATTTTCAAACACAGAAAGACCACAGACACTAAAGACGTTTGGGGAGGTTTTTCTGGGGCAGCCAAGGAGCAGCTACACTCTGCTGCAGTTCCTGGCACACTTGCCTTTGCCAGGGCCCTGGGACTTTCTCTCGCTCTCCAGACAGAGAGTTTGATGTTGAAACTGCACCTGCTTAGGATCCAGCACTCATATAGGGAAGCTACAGGTCCCTTCAGTTTTATCTAAAACACCCATAGGCAACATTTGCTGTATTGATCACCCATTATGCATTTTGCCTTTCTTCTGGGTCAGGACACCCTGGATTTCCTTTGGAGAACCATTTATTTCTCCACGACTCCACCCATGCAGATTGGGTGGGGGGCGGGGGAAGGGGAGGGTCCTTTCTTTCTCCAGAGGCAGGACCTATGACCAAGGCCTGACTAGGAAGGAGGTGCAGGAGACCCCTTGATAGAATCACTGGGAATCCAGGGACTTATGCAGGAGGCA